TTTTTTTTTTTTTTTTTTTTTTGGTTTTAGTTTTTTTTCTCTTTTTTTGTTTTTTGTTTTCATTGTGTTATTCGTTCTCAGGCTTCATTTCTCCCCCTTTTTAGTTCTTTTATTGAGTTTTATGTTTTTGGAACTTCTGCATTATTTCTGTCATTGAATTTAGTTTTGGCGTCTCAAGATTTGTCAGATGTCCAACAGGAGTGTCCTCATGGTGATTCTCAATTCTATTGTGCTATGGGCTGGATAGCAATTGGTTGCACAAATATTTGCACTGTAGACACTTCCTCGGTTCTATAACATCTTATTTACTTTATACCTCGCCCTTTCTCTTCCTTGAATATTTGCTCGAGGAACTTATGTGTAATTTCTCCAATTGCAGGCTAATGAAGTCAACACTTCTGTACCTTCTTCCTCTTCATTCTCTTTATCTCCTGGTGCTCGCCCTGGTAATACATCAGTCATGAGCCATTCAAAGTTTACCTACAGGTATACATGAAATTCCTTTAATGATGAATCATTTATCACTGTTCCGTTAGATATCTGATGATGGCATTTCATTGAAAGGTCTCTTTTAGCTGATATCATTCAGCCCCAGGATTTGAAGGAGTTGTGCTCAGTGCTCGTTGTATATTCAGGAGAAGCTGCTATGATGCTCTCAGGTATGTAGGTCAATAATTTATCCAAATATATTCACCTGTGGAGTCTATAGGAATTTATGCATAAATTCTCTCATGTTGATAATCTATAATCTATCTATTTTCGGAAAATGACATACACTATAATTAACTTCTAAAGTTACTAATGTAATTTTATCATTAGTCATACATTGGGGAGTTACAATTTAATAGTTACATTCATTTTTCAATCAAATCTTGTTCATTCTTTATTTTTATTCTTTGTTATATCTTTGATCTCATTCATTTTTATTATGTATTTATGTATTCAACTAGTGCATGTCCCGTGCGATACACGGAGGAGCTCATAATTTAAACATTTTTTAGACTTTATTTTAAATATAATTGTTTATATTTTTCACATTTCATCTCATTATGGACATAAAATAAATACAAACAATGAGAAATATATATTAATAAACACTTCTCCTTACACAATATTTTATATTTAAGAATAATATTAAACCTTATAGTTTTGATTTTTTTTTTTAAAAAGAAATTATCCAATAAATGATTATTAATGTACAAAAAAAATGGAAAGATTTTTATTTTTTTTTTTACTTTTACACATCAAAATTATCTAATCTTTTAAGCACTTTCATATCCCAATTTTAATGTTACTTCATACCAATTTATTCAATGATCAACCATTAGTCAAATTACTGATCAAATTAGAAGAGAAATCCAAATATTGTCATATATTATCATTTTTTCTTTCTTATTTAATTTTTTTATCAAACAATTAATAGAAAATCCTATTCCCATAGTACATTTAATTATTATAAAATCAAATTCAAGTCATCCCATCAGAAACCATAGAAAATCCTATTCCCATAGTACATTTAATTATTATAAAATCAAATTCAAGTCATCCCATCAGAAACCAATAAACGTGTCGGAATTTTAAATGTTTGAGGAAAAAAATTAATTGTGCTTCAAAAAAGAATTATATTTTAACATAAAGAGAAAATCTACACTGTGGTTATTAAATGTTTCAAAAATACCCGTATAGGAAAATCATTTAACAAATTCTTATATTAACTTTTAACATAAGGAATTAAGCCGCCCAAAAAATAAAATTTTTTGTTATTTATTAAATTTTATTTACATAAGATAAACTATTAATGTTTAAATAAAATTAAATTGATACTTGTTTCTTATTTACATAAGAGAATCGATTTAAAAGTGTTATTTTTTGTCCATCTTTGCAAATATCCAAGCCGTACAATATGTTACATAAACAATAGTTATTTTTAAGATCAGTTCAATTATTTTAAACACCTATCATTTGATATGCATTAGCGGTTAAAGTTAAATTGAAACTAAAATTCATCTCGTCAAATTACTCATGTTTTCAAATTCAAAATCTAAATTGAAACCAGAATTTTTGAATTTTTTGCTAAAGAATTAAACCACTGGTAAAATTCTTATAGCTATTCTTCATCATTAGGACAAATGTAAAATCTCATGGTTAGTTTTCATAATGGCCATTAGCAAAACAATACAAACATATTGTCCCGCAACGTCATATTTTGTTATGTGGACAATAAAATGCTACTATTGCAGACTCCCAAATTAAGTGCAACATATCTTATATAAATGACGGCGGCCAAAAATGATAAGGTGGCCACAAGATGGGCAACACGTGTAGGGCTAAGATTGAATCCAATGCGAAATCTTTGAAACGGTAAACGCGGAGATAGACTGGAGTCCAAACGCCTTAATAACAGAAAATCTATTACTTTAAAAAGTTTGAAAAAAAAGAATTGGATTTTTGAAAAACAAAATCAGCCGGCCAATTTTCAAATTTTTAGAAAAAAAGTTACTATTAATAGTATTTTTTTAAAAACTTAAGCGGGAATAATCTTTCCATTTTAAAAAATGCCTCCCCTTTTTTTACAGTAATAGATACTTTATTTTTTAGTTGATATAAAGACATTAAAATTATCTTAGCAAATATAGAAATTTAAAAGAAATATAGAAATAGAACTTAAGGTGATTGAACGTGGAACTTTTTATTTTTCTTATGTTTTAGAGATCATTAAATTTTTGGATAAAAATATATTTCTAATATCTCTTTATTACTTAGCTTATATTTTTTAATTATAATAAGAACAATTATAATTTCAAATATTATTTTACAAATTTGATACCAATTTCAAATAAACCAATTTACCTTTTAATTTATTTCTTTGTTATATTATTCCATACTATTTTATAATTATAATAGTAATCACGGTTGTTAAGATTTAAAATGTTATTTTTTAATGTAACAGTGATTAATTTCACAATTTTTTTCCCACAATTCTTATCATATTTTTTTCGATTTCAAAATATCATATTATTTGTTTGTTATTGTGGATAATATTTTTATTTTAGAATTGAAGTGAATAATAGAGTGTCACGAATTATATTTTTATAAATTTCCTATATAATTAATATAATTTTAATTCAAATCTCTCCCTATATATTAATTCGAAACATGTTGAGCCTAAGTGGCATACTTGCACGCTTCGGATGCTGACAGAAAATCTATTCTTTGTAATGTTTGTATATTCATTTTTGCTCTAGAATTAGGCTTGGTATTAGATATAAATAACTTTTTCAAACTAGGTAAGTGTACATCTAATTTTGTTATTTTTTCTCTTAGTACACATTTTGGGCAAGTAGTAATCTTATCAACTTATAATTTTCTCCCATATTTCTATGCTAAATTATGAAAATCACTTCTTCTACTTATTCCTTTCTTTTTCTTTTTTCATACTGTCCATCGAAATTTTTAAATAAATTTTTTATTTTTGCAATAATTTTATCATATATTTTTTAACTCAACACCCGTGTAGTACACGGTAATTGTACTAGTATTTATTTATTATTGAAAGATGATATAATCCAACAATATAAGTAGCTTTTATAGTTTTTAGATTAATTTAAATTATATTGCAATTCATATATTCTAATTTATCTCATAATATTAAGTTAAAAAAAAACTTAATTAATAACATTATTCGTTGTTAATAATTGTTATTTTTGCTTTTCTTAGTTTTTTTAGTTATTTTAAACAAACATATAAGTTCAAAATTTATACTTTTACCAAACCTACATTTTTGTCTATTAAAAGAATAAATATAATTTCAAATAACATTTGTAGAATTTGTTATAAGTTTTACGTAACTATAAAAAAGCTTTCTTATAGATTTCTCCGTTAGAGTGTTAAGTTGTTTTAAATAATTATACTAGTTATTTTAATAAATATAGTTACTAGCTTAGTAATTAAACTTTTTAATGTAAATATTCAGCTTAAGAAAATAATTAAGGATTTTTTTATAATTTTGAGATAAATAAATAGCATTTATACTTGATTTTTTTTTAACTTTTTGCCTTTTATTATTTGTTGTATGGTCGTATGACGTAATGAGCATTTCCGTAAAATATATTTTGTTTCTTAAGTACAAGGTATATATATTTCATTAACGAACTAGTGTGGTACTCGTGCAATGCACGAGCTAGTAAATATTGAGAGAAACATTTTGATTTGGATAATGAGATCATTGTTCAAATTATAAAACACAATTATTGAAATAAAAGAATATGTTATCTATATATTATTAAACATTCCCGTGTACACAACATTATTTGTTTGAGTTTTTGGTACATCATCATGGCCACAAATTAAAATTTTCAAACTCTTACGATTCGTAACGCCTGAAACAACTACATAGTATCTTCCGTTTTCTAATTGCATTTCATCAAGAACATGCCAACATGCAATATCTTTCTTTTTGTTTTCATTTGACATTGTATCTTCCGTCATTCTGATTGCATTTGATATGGTATCTTTTAATGACATAACATTTTTTTTTAAAAATTTAAATTATATATCACAATTAATGTTTGAAATGATTTGTAAAGATAGATTTGTATCTATCGGGGTTAGTATTTGAAGCATGTGCTATATTTACGTTTAACAATTGTTAATATTAGAAAAACTGTTAAGATAATAGTTGTGGTAGTAAATTAATCGGTATCTTAAATAAATGAAAGATATAATATGATTTGTTTTGAAAGAAACAACTCTGATAATCAATTAGTATAAAAGAATCTATCAAGATATAAAAAAATGTTTTTTTTTTTTTTTTGCAT